AATGCACGTAAATAGTCCAACAAGATTTTCACTGTGTCAATAGAAAAGGAATTTCATAGACCTACAGTTAAGCGTGGAATACATTTAGGCATATTTTCCACATTATTTACACTATATACTAAACAAATTTGACTGTTAAAATATGATATTTTGCAGCTGCGTGAATATATTGATGATACAGAGGATTATATCAATATTCAGGTACTTGATTCATCAATCTTAAATTTTTATGGCAACATACTAAAGTTTTCTGATATAACTTGTGCTTCCATATTTCAGCTTGATAACCACAGGAATCAGCTGATTCAGGTGCTTTTTTCATCCTATGCAGTTATCTGATCACTATGCAGGATTATTTTCTTTTATTTATTTTTTCCTCTGGAGTCTCTGTATTCTGTATTGTGTAAGACGTGCTTTTTATTTTCTTCATGTTTCACGGTACAGCTTGAGCTTTTTCTCAGTGCTGGGACTCTATGTATGGCCATATTTTCATTGGTGGCTGGAATTTTTGGCATGAATATCCCATATACGTGGAATGATGGTTACGGATACATGTTCAAATGGGTATGCAAAGCATTTCTGCTGGCAATCTTGTCTAGTATGACTTTAATGAACATGTCTGAGATTGAATCTTTTTGAATTGACAGGTTTGCATTGTCACGGGAATAGTCTGTGCTTGTGTGTTCATAATAATCATGTCATATGCTCGCTTCAAGGGGTTGGTCGGGTCGTGAACTTTATGAAGGAATTCTGAGATTGATCTTTTGGATCGTCTGAGAAATAGTGTCGAAGGGTTTTTAGCAAATATGTGAAGGAATTTTGATAATTCTTTTGCCCTTAAAGACTGTCGATGATGGCTGTTAGGGTTGAAGAGGGAAAAGTCTCACTCTGGGAAATTTTATATCGGATCAGATCTGGCAGCAGCCTTTCTAATCCAAGGATATTGCAAAGTTTAATAATTGTCAACAACTTGATTAACTGGATTCAGTCACCAACACAGACTGTAAAACCAATTACAGAATGAATACATATTTCTTGATTTTAGTTCATAATTCTTGTTCTGTTACACACAAGTATTCAATCAAACATACAATACTGTAACTGTACTCAGCAACAATTTAATGCATTCTTCAAATTGCGCATCTGTTTATGCCTATGATCTGTTTTCTGAATGCCTTTTTTGCCCGTGTCAATCTTGAAGTCCGTGGATTCTTTAGAAGCTGGTGATGATGGTTTACTCCTTGGTGACTTCTAATTATTAGTTGAACTGAATGATGGTTAAGAGGTGCAATTTTCGAGCTAAAACCAGTGAAGAAACCAAATCAATGTGCAGTTTAGGCGTTGTTATTTATTGCTTCACACTCCCAAGGTTCAGAACCATACCCCCATCATGTCCATAAAGTCAGGCCAGTTAGTCATTGGACAGTGCTTGACAA